CGAGACGGCAGAAGCAACGGTACTCAGTGGTCCCAGCCTTCCCACAGGGCTCACCAGTCCTGTGACCTGAGCGCTTGATGTACGGGCAACGAACACTACCCCCAGAGGAGCCACGCTGGACAACCCAATCACGAAGCTCCTAAGGGGTGCGTGGCTCGTGCTGACGTAGCTCTGCTGCTGTCCACCCCCGGTGCCTCCGCCACGAGCTGCATCCCCAGTCGCCGCCCCATAGCCTCCGCCCCTGCCAGCTCCACCTCGACCACCACACGAGCCCCCTCAGCCCACTCCACCGCCTCCACCACCCAACACCACCTCCACTGCCGCCACCACCGCCACCACTACCACCACCATCTCCGCCATCACCTTCGCCAGCGCCACCCCCACCACCCTTACCCCCCTTACCATTGCCGCTGCGGCGCCTCCCACTAGAGCAGACGCAGCACCAACCTCCTCAGCACGAAGGAAGTCAACAGCAACCGCAGAGGCAACAGAGGGCGCGAGAAGGGAGGGCGAACACCCTTCAAAGAAGGGGGAGCAAGGAGAGCCACGGGAGGCAGCTACAGCGACAACACTGGTCTCAGCCTCGAGGAGATGCTTCTCCAGCAAGTCAAGCGTGAGCTCAGTGGGGTCAAGAGCGAGAAAGTGATCCCTAACGGCTCGGAGGGAGTCACGGAGGCGAGTAAAGAGGTAGTATAGAGTTAAGGTATATCGGAGGCTGGTTCGTAGTCAGAAAGGCCGGCTTGAGAGCGGCGCGGTAGCGAGCATCACTAGTGCGAAGGCGGGTCATGAGGTCAGCGACTTTGTGAAATTTCGACAGCTCAGGAAAGAGGTACGGCAACATGATACGGCCTAGGGCAGCAGTAGAGGGGGAGGAGTAGCGTGCAACTACGACGTCATAGAATTCCTTCGCCGTCTTAAGCTGGCCAAAATGGACCCGTTCTTCTAGTGTTAGGGCATCGCGCGTGATCCACTGAGTACAAAGAACATGATCAGCTGACTCCTCAGGGGCAAGGCAAGAACCAGACGTTTGCTCAAACAGTGAAACGTCCTCCCTAGCCATACTCTGCACGTACAGCTGGAGATCCTCGAGCCAGCAGTCAAACCTAATTGGGCGACCTTCTGCGTCAAAGGTAAGGACATTAAGGGTAGCCATAGCGCGCAGTAGCAGTGGCAGCAGCAGTAGCAAGCAGGTGCGGCAGCAGTAATAGCAAGCAGGTGCGGCAGCAGCACTAGCTCGGTTGGGCAGCTAGGCAGGGCTGTTCAGCTGGGCGGTTCGGCAGGGCGGCGCGGTTCAGCTGGGCGGCGCGGCTCGGTAGGGCAGGGCGGCGCAACGCGGGCGGCAGTAGCAGCTTAGCAGCAGCTGCAGCATGTCCAGGGCGCGTGCAGGCGGTGCAAGACAGCGCGTCGGCTGTGCGGGCAGGGCACGGGCGGCACGAGCCGTAGGGGCAGCGCGCGGGTGGCGCCAGCAGCGTGCGGAAAGTGCGCAGGCAGGGCGCGCGGTGCGCGGGCTGGACGTCAGCAGTGCAGGCAGCGCGCAGGCAGTTTGCAGGCGGGGCAAGCAGCGCGCGGGCAGCAAAAGCAGCGCGCAGGCTGTGCAGGCAGCGCGCGGACAGCGCAGGCAGCAAGCGGGCAGCGCAGGCAGCGCAAACAGCACGCGGACAGCGCAGGCAGCGGGCGCAGCGTGCGGGCAGGGCGCGCGGAGAGCTCGGGCAGCGCGCGAGCAGGGCATCGTGCAGGTCACGCGCGGGGCAGCAAGCGGGCATCGCGCAGGGCAGGGCAGAGCGCGTGGGGTAGCGCAGGCAGAGCAGCGTGAGGGACGCTATTCGGGCAGGGCAGGTACAACCGTGAGGGCAGTCCTGGCAGCGCGAAACTAACTTAGTAGCAGCAGCAGCGCATGCAGCAGTAGCGGCCGCACAATAGACAGCAGCAGCAGCGCGCATCAGCGCGGACGAGCAGGGCGCAGGCAGGGTGCGCATGAGTGTGGGTGGCAGGGCAGGGCAGTGCGGCTCGCTTGCTGCAGGGCAGGGCAGCGCGGCTCGCTTGCTGCAGGGCAGGGCAGGGCGGCTCAGGCGGCAGCAGCAGCCTCGCAGCAGCAGCAGCAGCTCAGCAGAGCTTAGCAGCAGCAGCAGCAGCGCATGCAGCAGCAGTAGTAGCAGCAGCAACACTTAGTAGCAGCAGCAGCGCATGCAGCAGTAGCGGCCGCACAATAGACAGCAGCAGCAGCGCGCATCAGCGCGGACAAGCAGGGCGCAGGCAGGGTGCGCATGAGTGTGGGTGGGGTGCGCGCGGGCAGGGCGCAGGCCGGGCGCAGGCTGCTAGCGGGCAGCGCGAGCGAGCAGGGGCGCAGTGGCACTCGCAGGCAGGGGCGTAGTGGCGCTTGCGGGCAGGCAGAGTGCTCGCGGGCGGACAATGCGTCGGCGGGAAGCTGGCGCGGCACACCTTCCCCGACTCCGACGCCGACGACGTGCTGGCCGTCGTGCACATCGACCTGTGCGGGCCTTTTCGCGTGGCTGCCAAGGACGGTAGTCTGTACTTCTTGCTACTGAAGGACCGCAAGACCCGCTACGTGTGGGTGAGGCCGGTCCCCAAGAAGTCGGATGCGCTGCAGGAGTTCGTGCAGTGGCTGGCGGTGGCTGAGCGGCAGACGAAGAAGTCGGTGTTGATGCTGCGCTCTGACCGGGGAGGGGAGATTCTCGGGAAACAGTTCACCGACTTCGTGAACGGAAAGGGGATCGTCCACGACCTGACCTGCCCGTACACCCCACAGCAGAACGGCATGGCGGAGCGGGAGATGAGGACGGTGGTGGAGTCGGTGCGGACGATGCTGCTGCACATGGGCGTGCAGCACCACTGGTGGCACCTCGCCCTGCGGCAGGCCGTCTGGGTCCGCAACTGCCTTGAGAGGTCGACGCTACCGTCGGGGACGACGCCGTACCAGCTGCTGACCGGGAGGAAGCCCGACTTGACGCTGGCGCGAGTGTGGGGCTGCATGGCACAGTTCTTGGTCCCCGAGCAGGAGCGTGGTGGGAAGCTGAAGCCGAAGGCCAGGTGGGGCCTCCATCTCGGCGTGTCGGAGAAGAGCAAGGGGTGGGAACTCCTCGACATCACCGACAACCGGGTGGTCACCACGTCTGACGTGGTTTAGGGTTTTACGAGACGATGTCGCTGGAGGTGTGGAAATCGGAGCACGGCCCGCCGTCGGAGCGGACGCCGGTCAACCCGCCAACGGACACTTCGGCGGCGACGCTCCCTTTGCTCGCCGAGGTCGGAGAGCTTGCTGCTGCGGACGCCGAGGACGTCCACCCTTCCTCCCCTTCTCCTACCCCTCTCCTTGTTGCCGACCTACGTGGGCTAACCCCGACGTCGGCCTCCGCCGATGAGGGGAGAAGTGGGGCATCACCTGTGGCGCTAGCCCCAAGCATCGCCGGTGGCCGACGTGATGCTGTGCAAGTCGGCGTGGGAGCAAAGCTGACGCTGGCGAGGAGCAGCAGGTGGTGGAGGAGCAGCCGACTTTGGTGAAGTCGGCGAAGGAGGGACCAGCAACGCAGCAGCCGACAGGGGAGCAGGCAACGGCAAAGCCAACCAAGGAACAGTCGGCAATCGGGCAGTCGGCAGGGGAGTCGACCGCAGGGGAGAAGTCGGCTGGGACGCCGACTGAGGTGCAGCAGGATGCTGAGGGCAGCGACGCCAGTGATGATGGAGACGCCGAGGACGCCGAGGAGGTCCAGCCTGAACCACGGAGTACAGGCCGACATCGGAGGCCACCCGACTTCTACGTACCGGCTGCCTTCACCACGGCGTATGACGAGGTCGACGACGACTTGCTGTACCACGACGCCGAGGAGGATGAGGAGCTGCCGGAGCTCGACCCCGACATGCACGCCGACCCCGAGCACCGCTGGGACATCTCTACGATGTCGGTGAAGGAGGCGCTGGCGAGCTGGAAGGGCAAGGCGGTGAAAGCCGCCATGGAGGAGGAGATCCGCAGCCTCATCAACATGGGCACGTGGGAGCTGGTCGAACGCCCGCCGGGGGTGAACATCATGAAGAGAGCCGCCCGCCTTGATGGGCTTAGAGCAGTCAAGGCCGGGATTGAGAGCCGTGAAGTTGCTGCTGCTAAGGCCCAGCTGGGTGCCGATGGACCAGCACGTGTCGCCCTGGAGGGTTGAACACCGGGAGCGAAGGCACAGATGCCCGAGGATAATGGAGCATGAATGCACTATGGGCATGTCAAAATAGGCCGAGATGAGAAGACAACAACTCTGAGCTGACGCAGTCCAGAAGCGAGGGGATTAGGAAAGAAAGGAATGATGTCAAAGGCATGAAGTTGTAGAAGAAAGCTTTGGAGGTGAAAGGGGCACTGCTGTACTACGTGCAATGCTAAAATAGGCTGGGCTGCTAAAACCGCGGTGAGTGGAAAGATCTGGAAAGAAGGAGAAAAGAAAGATGGAATGAGCTGGTGGGATATAATGGAAGGAAGAACAACAACAAGGAATATAGCTCACATTGAGGGTGTAGAAGAATGCGGTGCAGGGCACGGGAAGAGGACTTCCCAGCTGAAGCACGATGTTACGAGGCAAAGGACGGCTGCAGTCAATGGCCTGCAGTTATGAGGGTCACAGCCACATAGAGTCTGAAGTTTAGCCGACCATACCATCCTGTGGGGTTACTGATTCCAATCTCATCCCCCTAACAATGCTATTCATTCTTTCCCTGCCCGCCTGCCTCTCCACACCTCCAGACTCTCCATTCCCACAGCTTACCACATTCTGCTGTGTAAATAGTGCAAGTGGGAGGCCCACAAGAGAGAGGACATCGGAGCACCACCAGTTGCTGCCTCTCACTGCCAGGGTGCTGGCTGTGATGTTGGCTGAAAAGGTGAAAGAAGGGAAACACACCAAATAGAGTGGCCTAAATGAAAGCCAACCTAGAAGTTGTGTGTGCACGCATCACAGGGCTAGGCTGTGAAAGAAGGTCGCAGGGGTTGTGGGGACCTCAACCTATGATACAAGAACCACTGAATGAAGTAGCGGCCCTCTCGCACATGAGGAGGATGCAGCAGTACCTGGGTCGCAGGTAGGGAAATTGTCAATGGTTGTGCTGGCAACGTAGTTGGGTGGGCAGATGCAGGAGTAGGAGCCCTTGCCATCGTTGATGCATGCCCCCACGTAGCACGGGTTCTTCAAGTCTGCCCCACACACGTCCACTGGCAAGCAACACAAACAGAATTGTGGAGCACAGGGATAAGGAGAAAAGACATATGAATGTGTTGGGAACAATGGGAAAGAGAGAGGCGAAGTATACGGGGGCGGGGGGGGGGTGGGGATATATATCGAGAACGTTATAGACAGACCGAGGCTTGGTGAAAAAATTGGTCAAAACTTACAATAGGCACACGTTTGAAAGCCGTATCCATTCGCCACTTCAACAAATGGCTGCTTGGATTCATTCGGAATGGTGCAGTTACACGAGTTGCTGTTGCTACGCAGGTTAGCCCGGCATGCGAACCGCCCACACGGGTTCATGGTGGGCTGCAGATCGCCATCACCCTTGAAGCTCTTCTGGCCGCAAGGGTCCTTGGGGACTGAAGGGTGGTACAAACAAGAACAGGGGGAGTAAGAACAGGTGCGGATGCAGTTTCATTGAAACAGGCGTGAGCTCACCCATTGAAATCATTTCAGTTTAGCATTGAAAAGGAGGCTTCTTCTGTGCATTTCATCCTGGACCAAACATAGTTGACCCTGTGAGATATGGAGAGAGCGACTTCAGAAGATACCTCAGTCAAGGCCACAAGGTAGAAGTCTCACTCTTGACAATGGGGTAGATGCCAGGTAGCACGTTGATGCCACACACGCCATCGCCTCCCTGAATGTCTATGCGCATGTGGCCCTGATCACCCCACTCCACTCCCCATGAGTTGCGGATGATCCAAAATGGAGGCGCAATGCGATTTTGGCTGCCGTCATTTCTCAAGACAAAGTATCCAATAACGAGTACAACGTGGTTCAGTCTGCCAGTATAGCTTCCAGGATTTTGGTACTTGAAGGTCTGAAGAGAAAGAGGAACACCACAACAATCATGAAGGGTGGATGAGAGTGGTTATTTTTTAGGCAAACATGTTAATGCAGATAACGAGTTCTGTACAACTCTTGACAACTTATGCACAACATGTAGGATCAAATGCAAAAAACACCAACCCCGTCATATTGTGCGAAATCCGGAGCAGAAGCCTCGATGTGAACCACCACGGGCTGTCGTCGCACTGCCAGCATAAGCCCCACAAACCCCTTGAACTGCGTGTGCTCAAATCCGTGAACACTGTACTCCTTTCCCTGAGGATGGATTGTCGAAGCGGAGTTTAACATTTAGGGAAAAAGGGGAACAAACTCATAAGTTCGCTTTTTGAAAACGCCAGCGGCAATCACATGTAGACCTACTTACACCGAGGAATTTTTAGTAAGCAGTAATATGTTGGGGGGAATTTCAAAATGATCAGAATATACGTTTCTGCATGTTTTAGGGATGTTAGGGCTCATCTCCAAGGCTGGCTTGGCCCTCTCCCAGCTTGTCGCGAGCCGGCCTAGGCCGGCTCATAACTGCATATCCACCCGCATGCTAACAGTTCCTTATAAGTTGCATCGCAACCTTTGACAGTGGCTGCGACGACTGACTCTGGAAGTCAGAGAGAGTCCACATACTACCAGTTGTAGTATAATTTGAACTCTCTCAGCATCATTCACACCTCTCGAACTTTCCGATTTTCTCATGAAAACCTACACCTTTCTAGCTATTCAATTCACCAAAGAGCTCACAGGTGCGCCAGCCTCTGTGACTCCACTGCGAGGCAGCATCAGAAGCCTTTCAAACGCCTCGGTAGGAGAGCCCCCCGTGCTGCACTTGTCAGCTTCGGATGTGAGCCCCATGGCTGCAAAGAGTGACTCCACTGACAGCTGCGGCGCCTCTCTATTCATTGCAATGCCATATGCCGCTTCCATGCTTGCCACCACAGCAAATGCCCAACAAGCACCTGGGTATGATAGAAACAGTTTCGTGAATAAGCAAAGCAGATTTGTCGAGAGCCGAAAATTGGTGGAAACACGTATAGAGCCGAGGACGAAAGTGGCTGAAACATGAAAGTGACCAGCAGCAGAGTAGCGATCAACAAAACACACCAGCCAAACGATCGGCTCCAACATGCTTCTCCAAATTCTCCATTGGTTTCACTCACTGCAGTCTTTCTGGTCCTTGACAGGCCAGCCAAGGAAGGGCACAGAGTCCCAAGAGTGGAAGTCGCTGATGAACCACGAGTCCTGCTTGCTGGGCGCCACTCGGTAGTCCGCACTCACGTAGCGCGGGAAGGGGCTGGCCCACTCTGGCAGGTACGTGTCCGTTGATAGCCGCAGGCCATAGGCTGGAACATGCGCAGGAGTTGAATGGGATGTGAAAGAGACTAGTTGAATACAATGGGCAGTGCTGCATTGCCCTTGAATTGCTGAGCTGGGCTGGGCGTCAAGATTTCCGTACATTTCTGGGCTGCACCTCATATCCGGTCAGTTCTGCACCTCATATGACTGTTGGTTGATTGCCGGTACAAATCCATCTAACACCCCGTTCAGTCCTGATGGACCTGTATTGGTGCATTGCTCATGCGCAGGTAATTTCTCTAATAAAAAAAACGCTCCCCTAAATTAGTATACCGGGAACATAGTTGCTGACCATTTTTTTTTCCAGTTTACTTTGGATCATTTAGCTTGAGATTTAGGTACACTGTGTTGTGCAACATCTACCACATTGTCTTAGCAATGATACCTTCTTGCACCAAGTGTACTAAATGCATGCGCATTGGGCAAAAAAAAAAAAAAAGAAGAAGAAAAAAAGCCATCGTAGGATGGCGATTGAAGGATGCATGTGGGAAGATAAATTAACGTGTGGGCAAACATTGGTACAGACTATTAAGACGATCGTACAGTTAGCCAGTTACTCACATTGCTTGCCTCTCATGTCCTTCTGACAGAGGTGACCTTTTACCTGGAATACGTGTGATTTGTCGGGGAGAAGCAGGAAGACCTGTGAAAAGACAGATCCGAGGAAAGAAAGAAAATGCTTTGTACATTCAGAAATCGTGCAACCCGTATTTACAGATACCTTATAAGTTTCAGCTACAGCATACCCCCCCAAAATGTTTATCTCGAGAAAGACTTCACCTTTTTCCTACAATTGACATCGAGAATTATAGTCATGGCTACAATATATTAGTTCTTGATGAAGTTCTAACAGTTATGATTTCGTCGGCGGCGTTTCTTGTGAAGACGACGTTTTTGTTTGGAGTTCTAGTCCAACGTTTGTTTCGCTCCCCAAATCCATTTAGACTCCGTCCTTGATCTGTACACCCTCGTCCTCATCAGCACTACCCTCATTTTTCACCAGCACCACCCTCATGTCCACCAGCACCACCCTCATGTCCACCAGCACCACGCTCATGTCTACCAGCACCACCCTCTTCTTCATCGGAACATCTCCTCAATGTCACGATGCTTTACATCGTGACATTGCCACCTCTTTCACATCCTCCAGATAGGACCTCCTGTGTTGTCAACCACCATGCTAAGCTTATCCTTCTAGCAGCACACACTTCCTACCTGTGTCCACTGAGGATTCAAGAATGACGTGCCGCTGAAACGGCTTCACAGTGGTGGACGCCACAAATCCAAAGAAGAAAGCGTGCTGCTCGGCTGCACCCTGCAGTACCTCACACAGCGCCAGCCTCCTCTCCAGCACTGCCTGCTGCGGCTTCTCCTGCGACTCAGCCAAGAAGACTTGAATGGTGCCGGGGTCCCCTGGCTCATAGTCCACCCACGCCGTGTACACCTTCCTGTTGCTCAGTGGGAATGGTGACCTCACAGCGGCTACCGACTTGTCCTCGCCTCGAATGTTCAGCCCCACATGTTGGCTGCTCATGTCGCCGTGCTGCTTGTTCTGTAGAGTGTCAAACTCGATCGCCATGCTCCGCGTGTCCATTCCGCCATACCCCACACCGGCTCCACTCCCCACCTGGTTCGTCGCCGAGACGACAAAGGCAAAGCCGTTGAAGCCCACACGGCCAGATCGCGGCGAGAGGGAGAAGGTGAAGTTGACGTGGAAGGCAAGCTGCAGCCCACACCGCGACAGCGCCTGCCCTGCCTCGTACACAAACAGCGTCACAGGCGCTGCAGTGAAGCTTCCCCCCGTCTCTCGCTGCGTTCCCTTGGTGAGCACAGATGCTGGCGGGAGAACTGGCTGGCTGCTTGAGAAAGTTTTATTCTGGCCTGCACAAACATCACAGACGGACGAACATGAGTGGGAAATGTGTAAAAACATCACAGACGGCCTGCACAGAAATCTATTGATTAAATAAAGGACCTCAAGGCCCGTAGGTATTTAAAAAAAACGGGTCGGAACAGATGGGATGGAATCAAGGGCAAATGCGATCGGCTGAATACCAAGGTTGGGTTGGGATATTGATGAATACCCAACCACGAAACCACAACCTCACTAAAGTAAGGCATAAAAAGTGCAAGTACAAAACGTGAGATGAAAGTCAGGTGAGACCTAAGGAGGTCAGGCTTAATTCCAATCTACAAGCTACAGAAGTGCTTGTGAGTTGGACACCCCACCATTCTTTGATCCTGTCTGTGGTCATGTTTCATCAATTTCAAGTGGTATCCCCCTACCTTGCGCCACACAGTTGATCTCTCCAAATTGCACAAATCCCGCGTCGCACAGACATGTGGGTGCCATGCTAGCCCCCTCTGGATAGCACACCCCATGCCCTCCACACGCAGCAGCAGCACCAGCAGCAGAGGAGACGCCACAAAATGCGTTGCATGCTGCCTCCTGACGTTGCGGCACCAAGGCACAGCCAAGCGGCAGCGTGAAGCAGTTGGCATCAAAAGAGAGAGGCTGGCATGCTTCATCAGGCAGCTGGCCCGAGAGGAAGTTGCTGGAGAGATCCAGGCTGCGTGCAGCAAGTGGTGTGACTGCAGATCCTGTGAGGTAGTTGTGGGAGAGGTCCCTGCAGGGGGGAGGGGCAGGTGCATCGGGAAGGACGCATGGAGATCACCTCATTGCATCCAGAATTGAAAAAGAGTTCAAGGAGCAAAGGTGCGAGAGGTTGTTGAGTAGCATGGGTGTATGGATGAGGGAGAAGAAGAGTACGGACATGGAAAGGTAGAAAAGGAGAACGTGGGGTGGACGAGAAACGGAGGGGAGGGGGAAACGGAGGTGAAGGGAGACGACAAGGCAGGAGGCAGGAAGAGGAGATGATGAGAAAAAAGAGCCATATCAGGGGATGGTGGGGTGAGAATGGGGAAGTAGGAGGTGAAGAGAGATGACGAGGAAGCAAGTAAAAGAATGTGGAGGTGGAGGATATATGAAGGACGCAAGCACGGCAACCATGAGCATGCATGTGGTGCTGTCAAAGTCGCTTTCCACAAAATCTATAGTGTAAGCTTGGTTGGCACGTCCCAGAACCAGCCACGTGGATTCCAATTGGTGCAAAATCATAATTTTATTAGTTCGTTTAGTTTTGGACAGTGTTCGATGCATGTCCGGCCGTATGGTAGGCAGTCTCGCCGACCGTATCCTCAAAGAAATCATTCCACCATACAATTTGCCAACTTGCACGTCGTCATTAAAAAAAAAAAAAAATGTGGGCTTAGACTACTTAAGTTTACAGCGTAGTGTGGAAACCCTATCGGGTGCAAAAGCGCAGCACATTCGTTTAGCCAGTTATTATGTTATTCTTTTATCGTTGTGACTAGAAAGCATGCACGGCACAGCAGGTGCTGCTGTTGGCTGACTGACAGCATGATTTTGGGAGTACAACGAGTGTGTGTGCGTGACTTGTCGAGTGCGTACGAGGGGGAGAACGCCAGAGCATGCGAGAAGGAGTGAGGTAGTGTGTGGGTCGTACAGGTGTGTGAGTTGTGTGAGCTTGGTGAGAGTGCTTGGTATGCTCCCATACAGCTCGTTGAAGGCGAGAGACCTGATGGCCATGGTGGTTGGACAGAAGTATGTTACACGAGCGACCAGAAGGGTAGAAGGGGATAGTGAGGAGGGATGGAGACCAGGTTGGGTAGGTGAGAGGAAATTGAAGGGCTGAGCAGACATGAATCGTGGCTAGAAGCGTGACCATATCACAGAAGAATGGTGCAATACTCAGATGCTAAAATGACATGCTAGATTCACTCGCAATAATTACTTACTAGATTTACGTGCTGGATCCACTTGCTACATTCACTTGCTTGATTCACTAACTAGATTCACTTGCTGGATTAACTTGCTAGATTCACTTGCGTAGTTCACTTCCTAACTTCAATTGCTGAATCGTGCTAGATTCGCTTGATAGAATTGCTCTCCAGCGGGTTCACGACACACGAGGTTCACGACAATGCCATGGGACAAAGCACCAAGAATCCACAGAGGTGCTCACACGCTAAATGCTTTGGGTGGAGAAGAAGCATTTTGAAAAGATATAAATGCCATCAATTGAGAACAATGCAAACAGTACCATTCATTTCCAGAATTGCTGGCAGCAGCATGTGAGCTTACAGGTAGCGTAGGTGTGAGAGTTCCCCAAGAGACTCGGGAATCTTTCCAGTCAAACGATTGCCCTGAAGGAACCTGTGCAGTGCACACCCATGTACAATTTACAGAGAGAGATCGCAAGCAGAACACTGCTCTGGTAGCATACCCAACAAAACAGACACGTGCATACAATGCACTACAGCCACACATGCAATGAAGCAGTCCAGCACAGACGCCACCAAACCATTGATGGTTCAATTACAGCTATTAGTGAAATCATTGACGCATGGAAGCTGGATTAGAGGCATCCTAGACAGATAAGCATGCAGCAGGCAGGTTTAATAGGTTTTTCAATTTAGCAAGATTCTCAAAACAAAAAGATTGTGTCTACTGGTCCTCAACTGTCTTGTTTCACCTAGCTTTGAACCGAACTGGTACACGCCCAATTCTTGCTCATCTCACACACTTATTGGAAGGGGGAAGGGGGAAACGGCTAAGCAGAAGTCCAAGCTTGAGAAAGAGCTCCAACTAAACATTCTCTTTGATAAGGAAAACAAATGGCCCTGGTTCAGCTTCTTGATCACCTGATAGGCTGTCACGACAACCTGCGTGGCCGAAGCGACAGTCTGCATGGCCGTCACAACCACCTGCTAGTCCCTCATTCACAAACGGATCATCGGTTCTTTGTCACACGTCCGATTTCTCACAATTACGAGTGTCACTCACGGGGACAAGAGGCTCGTGGGCCTACTGGCTGACTCATCACACGCCTTCCTCACTCGTCATGCTTTCACAAGCCAGAGGCAGACAAAAACTATAGTAGTATTAGTAGCAGAAGCAGCCACAGAAGCAGTAGTCGTAGCAGCCGTTCCACTCTCATACACCTTCCACTCTCATGCACCTTGCTCAATGCAGCAAAATGTAAATGCCATACTTTCTACTTTTGGACATACATCTCACAATAACAGCCAGAGCTCAATTAGAGGTCAAATAAGTAGCAAGGTTGAGCAGTAGAGTTGGAAGCAACAGCAAACCTAGTGAAGTTTTTGACTCTTACAATTCAGCAAGTGCTGTGAGCCCTGATATCGAGGAGGGCAAAGATCCTGACAGCATGTTGGCGCGGAGAGAGCTGTTGGTGGCAAGGAGGGGAGAGAGAAAGGTGCTCGTGGCAAGAAAGGGAGAGAGCTGCTCGTGGTAAGGACCCAACATTTGTAGTTTGGGCTGGCCTGACCACCAACACTGGGTCGGACAACCAACCAAGATTTTCGTTCCCCTCCGATATTTTCGTTCGAGCAGATTATTATTTTTGTCATGACAGGTACGAGCGATGATGATATTTTTTATTGCCCGGGGATGATTCTCTACTGCCTAGTGGCTAGTGTTTCTTCACAAAAGACCAGCAACAGTGTAGGGTGAGGACAGAAGAAGAGAAAATGGCAAAGAGAGTTCGGATTGAAGCAAAGGGGTGTGAAAATAGGGCGTGTGGGAGGGGAGATTGGTTGCTCAAAGGTAGATAGAAGACAGAACAGAAAATTTGTGGACCCGATGTATACAATCCTTACAGAAACACCAGCTTCCTGAATGAACCAATCTTTGCAGGGATAGAACCAGTGAGTTGATTTTCATAAAGATACCTGCAGTAAATGTGAAGATATGATGGAATGTGAGAGAGGCAAAGGCAAAATTCGTGCAATGTCAAAGTCAGCAGGGGCACAAAACGAGGTGTAGGTGTCTCTGCATCCCAGATCTGATCAGAGTTAAGTGGTATAAATAGAGAAGGATATAATGGGACAAGGAAGGACGATCCATTCGAAAAACGATGTTTCATTCATAAGGAAATGGGGCGGAAAGATGTGGTCCTGAAATGAAACCATGGTTGAGAAAAAACGAAACAAACTGCAATTTGGTTCAGGTTCGACCCAACCGTTTAGGAAGGGAAGGACCGTGACAATCCTGCAGCACTGCGCCATCACCAGCTGGCTACCCTCCTCTTCCTTGTCCCCTCCTCTAGTTGCATCTGAAGCCAGGCTTATTCGATGCACGCCGGTCGGAGAAAGTAAAGGTTCTAGCTCGGCCCTTTACGGATCAGTACTCCTCAAGGTTACGTTGTACCTAGGCATGAGCACAACTTGAACTCGACTATTTCAGGTTGAACTGGGCCGAAACAGCTTCAACGGCTCACGGTTCAATGTTTGAGTTCTGAAAGTTGCACCTAGAACGTTGCCCAAGCGAGGGCGGGGCCAAACACTCCATTCCCGTTAACAGGCAGGTGGGGGAGCAAGTGTGCCGGTTTATACTTGCCTTGATGGATCCCTGGATAGGCCAGAGCCAGAAGTAGAGGGGAGATAGGATGGGTGGGTGGTGCACAGGTGTAACCCGTTAGATGCAATGAAGACGCAGAAGTGTAAGATGATGTGCCCGCAGCGGATCTCGTCCCAGAATTGCACCACCGAATCAGGGCAGCGGCATTTTGATAGGAAGCATTTGGCACGTCACAGGTAATTGGAGCACTCGCTGCATTCTGGGGCTGGTAGAGGCAGGCGAGAGATCACCGGGCTGGTGGAGGCAGGCGAGAGATTACCGAGGAAGGAACCAGGATGTGCCCAACGGCCCAATAAGAGACTGGGAGCAAGTGGTTGCGTGACAACACATTCCGACCACGGTGCCAGCTGAGGGAGGACGGGGCAGACTACTCTGGAGCAGTTTATGACACTGCGATGACCACTCAGTAGCTGCAGCAGGCTGTCACCAAGATTCGTGGTGATGGGCGACACCCGTGTTGCATCGTCGAGCTTGACGCAATTAGACATGAGCATCGATCGAACACTGAACATGTTCGCCCGAACATTTTTTCTAACATTTCTGGTGTTCGTAGGGGGGCGAAAATGTTAAGGGTTCACGAACATCTGTAATGTTCGGGCGAACCCGAACATGTTCGGTTCGTAATCCCGAAGGAGATCCCTAAGTCACCCAAGATATTGCTAGGCTGGAGAGCTTATTGAAGAAACAAAAAACGCAAAATCGTGGGAGAATGACGGGAAACATAATTGGTGGGGTGTGTTAGGGTTTTCCTTCCTGGGCTGACAGGAGAAACAATTGGTGGGGTGGGAGAGGTTCGCACAATTTGCGTTCCACACTTTCGACTTGATCTGCATGAAATTCTAATCGCGACAGCGATTTCGCAATTTTCGCTCAACCAGCCCACCCCACCCAAAACCCACAATACCACAATTCACCTCCCAAACCAACCAGTCCTCGTACACAAATCTGACGCAAGGTAACACACACTCACTTCACACACTAATCTACTCCCGCTACTACGCTAAACCTAATCCGAGCGCTAGATCCGACTATAAGGAATATATACAACCAGTGCGCAGGGCAGCCAATGTCGCGCTGGTTACTCAGCGAATATTCAGGCGTTCGCGTAACATTGGGAAATCACGAACATGTTCGATGTTCGTGATTATTTCCCTGAAATGTCGCGAACACCGAACATGTTCCGGCAGAACATCGAACATGTTAGGACAAACAATTTAGGCAAAAACATTTGTTCGGTTCGGTCACAAACATGTTCAGACGAACCGAACAGGCGTTCTGAATATTGTGGTTCTGGCAGTTGCGCGAGCTGGTGTTTCTGTGTGCAGGTTGAACCGTGTGTTACCATCTCGATAGACTGTTATGCCAGACGTAACAGTGGGTGCACACGAGCAACGCCCGAACATGTTTGTGACCGAACCGAACATGAACATTG